TCTTCGAAACAGTTGTAATAATCGATTTCAGGAATGGCCTTTAGCTCCTTCTTCGCAGCGGCTAACTGTGTGACGATAATGCACCGTCACACACTGCGCTGATTATTCGTGATTTTTTAGCCAAAAACTCGACTAATATCGTTCCACAACCACCGTATTCACCTGATTTGGCTCCATGCGACTTCTGGCTCCGGGGACACCGTTTCGAGTCGATAGAAGAGATTCAAGCCGCTGCGAAGAAGGAGCTAAAGGCCATTCCTGAAATCGATTATTACAACTGTTTCGAAGATTGGAAAATCCGTTGGAATAAGTGTATTATATCAGGGGGGGATTACTTTGAAGGGGACGAAATTGATTTGCAAGAATAAATAAAGAATTTTCGAAATAAATGCAATGTCACCTTACTTTTTGGACACAGTAGTATATGTTGTGAATTCATAAGATGCCCATTGTCTTTAAAAGGAACCATTATAAAAACTTGCAATGGATAAGCCGAGTCTCCTAAAAGATATGTATTTGGAGGAAGCATTTGTTTGTGGTTTTCAATTAATTTTTGATAAACTGGAGAATTTTGTCACATCCTAGCGTCATGTGTTGATCCTGGTCATCCACAATATACATCGATAAATTCTTTGTTGGCGTTGCAGATACCTTGTAATAATACGGAGTGGTAACCTTTTCTGTTATAATACGAATTGTCTTTCATAGGTCCAGGTATTGGGACATGTGACCCATCTACACATCCAAACACATTGCGGAAACTTTCATGTCCTCTTAATTCATTAAATTGTTCTACATTCTCATATGCAGCTCTTCCTGTGGGCTAAACTATATATAATTCTGTATCTTTTTCACAAGTCGTTTACAAGTTCGTATAAATAGTGTGAGCATTTCCTTTGCTTAAACCAAAACAGTCTGCAGTTGATCGAATTGACTCTTGATTTGCAACAATCCATATAGTTAATAACACAGCTTTTTTAACATGAACTTTTATTGGTGAACGTCCAATTCTTGCTTGCGATTCTTGCTCGTTTAAATCTTCAATGAGATTCTGCATATAATACAAAATTATTATTAAAAATTATAAACATTTTATTTGTTATATACATATTATTTCAGTTTAATATATTTTTTGCATTTATGATCAGAATATACTTTGTACATATCTCGACTGAAGTTCTAGATAATCGAAAATGCATTTTAAAATCTATATCAGAATATAGTGGCACTATTTTTGATACAAAGTTATTCATTTTTATGTGTTTTACACGCATACATTTAATTAATAATACATCAGTATTATTTGTATTGTTACTGTCGTTACTTGTTGATGTGGTATCAAAAGAATCATCAGAAGAAGGTTCATCTTCACACAATTTTTTAATGAAATTATATTTTAATAGCGTTTCCATGTTACAATTTTTTTTTCTTCCTGTTGATCGATACAACATACAACTTAATATTTTTAGGCTAGGAAATTACCCCTACCATATTTAATCGGAAATTTCATCAGTCCATCGACAAAATGAGTCGATGGATCTGATGGATATGCGATGACTTCAGCGCTGTAAATAAGAACGTATTGATGTAATTCATCGATGAATAAAAGAACGCTTCGCTGCATTTGCGCTGCATGCGATGGATCCATCGATGAATTAAAAAACTCGCCATTTGTTTCGTATTTGTTGATAACAGTTTCCAAGTCTCTTAGTCAGTTCATTCACGGACGCCCGTATGTGACCACCTAATTACGCAGGGATTGTTGTATTCAACTTTGGATTGTGGACCGTGTCTAGTTTTGTGTTATCTGAAAAATGGCTAATTTTTACACAAATTCTGAAATGACGGATATTCATTCATTTTATATATGATAGAACAAAGGGCAATGCTTCAAAAGCAGCACGCTTGTATCATGCAGCTTATCCGAATTGCACACAAAATTAGACACGGTCTACAAACCAAAGTTGAATACAACAATCCCTGCGTAATTAAGTGGTCACATACGGGCGTGAATAAACTGACTAAGAAACTTGGAAACTATTGTCAACAAATACGAAATAAATCTGGACTCTTTGACTTTCAATGACGAAACATGCCGAAATGTGTATTGACACGAGCCGAAGGCACATTAAACATTTATTGTAGATTTAATTTATTTTCTATTTTGCACAGAACAAAATGCTTCATAACTCAGAAATAAAAGGTTTTCGGAGTACTGTTCATTAAGAGTTTTTGGTTTGTTTTAATGAGTACTACATACCCCTAAAATTTGGTACCACCTTTTGGGAATATCCTGTATAATGAACTGGACACACACACATACATACACGCACATGCATATTATAACAATAAATAATTATTATTCATTTTAATTATTTATGTTTATTCTTATTATTAGTATACCCTTACAAAAAACACTTAATTGTGGATGTAAACACCTAAATTTGAATGTTAACAACTAATTGACTTCTTCAAATTAAGAAATCTTTGAATGTACACGCACCGGCGTTAATGCCGTCCGAATATCCGTGTGACTCGCACACGATAACGCGTCACTCATACACTGCTGCGTGTAGGTGAGCTAAGAGCAGCACGGAGTGGCGGAGGGAGCTAGCGGTATACGATCGTCGGACGCTTGGAGAGGGAATAGTGGTGGGAGTCGCGGCGATCTTCCATCCTCTATCGCAAACGTAAGAACGAGAGAAATAGCATTATAAGACGTCTGGACAGAAATGCCGTCCTAAAATACGTGTGACACACACTAAGAAAACGCTTGACTCACACTGTCTCGTCTATACGTGAGCAATACGCGGTGTCCCGACGATTGTTTCGCTCGCTCGAACGTTCATGCATTTTTCATTGTTAGCAAGGAAATTACTGTAATGTAAAAATCTTGGGGAAAGGTTTTTAGGAGACTTTGACAAATGCTTCTTAATAGCTACTCTTGAAAAAAAAATTAATATTAGATTTATTTTAATATAGAATTCTGAACCATTCTGAACTCTTCTTCGATCGACAACCTACACAAACGTTATATTGTTGCAATATATTCTATGTTGGTTCAGAATTATATATTAAAATAAATCTAATATTAATTTTTTTTTCAAGAGTAGCTATTAAGAAGCATTTGTTAAAGTCTCCTAAAAACCTTTCCCCAAGATTTTTACATTACAGTAATTTCCTTGCTAACAATGAAAAATGCATGAACGTTCGAGCGAGCGAAACAATCGTCGGGACACCGCGTATTGCATGCCGGTGCATGGAAATTTGTACAATAGGTAATGTTTCAAGTAAAATATTTCTAGAATATTCAATTTGAGATATTCTGATATATTTCCCGCGACAGTTTTCTAGAATATTTCGCAAATGATAATGTTTCAAATGGAATATTTCTAAAATATTTCATTACAGATCCTGAAATATTTGTAGTGTAAGATCTCCAAAATGTTTCCACAATATTTCCAATGTAATATTTCGAATAAAATATTTCTAAAATATCTCATACGAAATATTTTATTTAAAATATTTATAGAATATTCTAAGAATATATCTCAAATAAAATGTTTTAAAAATAATATTTGTAATATTTTTGAGATATTGCTGAGACGTTTTATGCTGTGTGGGTAAGGATCCAGTCTAAAGGCTGACTTATGAAGATCGGAGCCGGTAACTGTAAGCTTATGTAATCTGTAAGAAATTGACTAATCACAGATAATTATTCTTGTAATAATCGAAAAATCGTAATTTTATACGGAATTTAGCTGTTTTACTTGATCACATTTAAAAATCCATTTAGCACTGGTCGGAATTCGAACTCGAGACATCTCTGAATCGTTGGTCTATCGCTTTACCACTTTGCGTTATTTAGCAACAGATAGCATATTCTCTATAGAATATTCTCTAGAATATTTCACAAACGCCGCAAATGTAATATTTCAAATGGAATATTTCTAGAATATTCTACCCTTATAGAAATATCATACTAAGAATCATTGATAATTACTTATTATCCAGTATTTTTAATACTGAAAATAAATAATTATCAATGATTCTTAGTATGATATTTCTATAAGGGTATTTCAGATATTCAGAAATATTTCTAGCGACAGATATTTCACAATACTTCAAAAACGTCGCCAATGTAATGTTTCAAATGGAACATTTCTAGAATATTCTATTTCAGATATTCTGAGATATTTTCAAGAATATTTCAGAAACATCACAAATGTAATGTTTCAAGTGAAATATTCTTAAAATATCTCATACAAAATATTTTATTTCAAATATCTGTACAATATCTCAAGAATATCTCAAATGTAATATTTTAAAAATGATATTTGTAATATTCTATTGCTAAGATGTTTTGTGCTGTGTGGATATAGCTGCAGAAAAACGTTAAAAAGGGATGTCATACCATCAATATTTCATGAAACATATGTAAGATTTAGACATTAAAGAGTTCCACAAAAAAGTATTAATTTTACAAGAAAATTGTGCCGGGAATATAACCGAAAGAGCAAGAGAAATATTAGAGAATACTTATGTACCATGTGGTATATTTCAGTTAATATTTTATTTACTTTACTTATATGTGTTGTAATGTAGACAAATTTAAATATGATTATAAGCAAATCCATTAAGTTAATTCTATCTGTTGTAGCAGAAAAATGCAAACAAAAGTATGGGTTGTGGTATTAACAAATGTAAAACAAAGCATGGATTGTTATGTGCAAACAGATATAAAAGAAAACATGGATTGTGTTGTGCAAACAAAATCTTCATATTTGGAAAATCAACAGAAAATATTAGATTTGCGAAGACAAATACAGGACTTGGCGCATCAACTAAAGCAAAGAACCTTTAAAAATGTCAACATGCAGCAGTTAAGGGGGGCTTCTGGTCTTGAGAGGCGAATTCAGCCGTATTTTTAGAAATTTTTTTTATGCTTAAAATTTATGATATAATTAAAAATTGATACATTGTTATAAAGTACATTTTGTATAGATTTAAAAAAATTGTATATTTTAATGTTGTTCCCATAACATAATAAAATATGGCGCCGAAGTTAGGCCTGTACCGCGAGTAGAGTCAAATGATGGACACGATAGAAGTCGTTTCTGTAATCTGAAAACAAAAAACAAGGTCTTATTTTGTAGAGTAGACTTGTGATTTTCGTCTGAACTAGGATTATTAATATCGCATGCATAATTTTAATATGACGATAAGTGAAAAAAATCCGATTTTATTCAATTTTTTCTCTCATTTGTGTTCCAAAAAGAAATAGAAAAAATAATCTATTTAGACTATTTATCTTAGTTTCTGCGATAACGACATGTTTATTGAATAACTGTAACTGTAAAAGCGGAAGTTAATCGGGCAAATAGTTTCTTTCAAATTGTGTCCACCACGTTCGAAAACATGGTTTCGAGAAAAATGCGTTTAAAGTTTGATGAAACATGTTTCGTGATAATATGTTAAATCTTATGAATTTATCTTTAATCAGCTATTCCAAGGCCATAAAGTAAATCTTCTCCTTCTTTGAAAATCTCATTCTGAAGTGTTTTTTATTCTCGATTGGCAATCCTTGCTTCTTTAGAGCTCGAAGATGCGCGATGTTCCGAACGCTTCATCCGAGTCGGTCGTCGTCTCGATAAATGGTAAAATCGTGAGCTGCGCTGCCAATTGTTACGCTCATCACTTCCATTATTTTTAGTATATTTATATATCCATCATTAAAGATGCACGTTGCTAAATAATTGGCGACTTCAACCACTCCTTTGCCGGCGGATATATGCTTGGGAGCAATCGTCCATAGTAATGAATTGAAAGATTCATTATTGTTTTGAGTGTGTGCAAAGACATTTTTCTAATAAATTATTGGATGATAATTCTTTATAAATCGGTCTAATAACTTCTGCAACTTTTTCATTAAGAGGTAGATTGTATGTAAATGTCTGGAGCGTTCCGTTGCTTTCTGCTTGTCGCCACTTGCACCAACTTCCAGAACCCGGCGGGCAATAATGATGTTGTGGTTTACTGTCTGTTGATGTTTTGTGAAAAAATATTCCCCAAATTGCTTTTTTCATTTCTTCGAGGTCATGAGCATTCCGTCTGAGAGCTAAACTGTAGTACGTTGTTAAATCGTTTATGAGTTTAGCAGTCAATTTTCCCTTTCTTCCAAGACCTTTGTTATTTTTCTTAGCATTTCGCAGTCTCGTTCCCATCCGCTTCTCCACGTTTCCAACGCACTATTTTTTTTTTGTATATAAACGTTATTACCGTAAGGATTAATGTCTACAATATCTTTGAAAATTTTACTATCTCCGTCTCCGATATACGTTGTATATTGAACACCATATTTTTGTACCGACTGCATAAACATTTCTGTTATAGCATCTACTTCCATTTTTCCAGCACTGCCTACATGATTAATGGAGCACGTTTCTTCATGACTGTTATACCACTCTTCATATTCAGGCGTATTTTTTTTTGTCGGACCAAAAGCAGCATGCTCGACAGAAACTTGATTTCACGACGGTATCGATCACTTTACTAGAATATTTTCCAATCAAAGAAGAGACGCCAAACAAAGAACTAAACCCTCTTTTTTTCCATATTTCATCACTCGATACGGATAAATGTTGCCGATTTCCATTTGCAGCTTCAGTGAGATTTTTTCTTTGTTAACGGCCGCTGTAATTGACAACTTGTAAATAGCTTGAGAAGCGGTACACAAATTTTCTAAACAAGCATAATATATAGAAATAGGTAATCCTTTTCCAATATCTATTAACGCGCAGAATAAATTTATTTCGTGAAGCCCAATCCCAAGAAGTCGTATCACAAAAACAATTCGCCGATTTACTTCGTATGCTTTATCGATTACGGGACACGTGTTTATCTTTTGCACAGTCACATTTCATACAAATTTTGAAACCAAGTCCATGTATACCTTTTTCATTAAATGTAACATTTTTTTGCATTCTTTGCAACAAACATATAAACTTATAGCCGCAAACACCGCAATAAAGTTTATAATATAGTAACTGTAATCTCGCTGAATGTTCACATCCATGTCTCTCGAGTTCATTAATTTTTTGGCTGAAGTACTCGTATATACTGTATCTTGCTCTATATCATGTCGGTTTCCGTGATACATTCGTTTTATTTTGCGCGCAGCATGTGTTCGATTGACTCTTGAACTTTTTCTATCCATTATTTGCTCTGTTCTCGTTCGCAACGTGCTCCGCTTTGTATAACCTCCAAAACGAAACTAATGGTGAAAAATATTATCAGTCAAAATCAAAGTCAGAAATATTATCAGTCAAAAGTAAATGTTTCATTCATAATTAGAAGTGCATTTGACTCCATGTTGATTCCGAGTTTTTATTACAATTGATTGGAATACACAAAATTCATTCTTACTTTCGACTAAAAATATTCACTTAATGATTCATGGAAGAGAATTCACTCTATAGGAGTGCAAAATTCAGTCAAATTTGAGTGACTCGGTTGCTATTTTATTTTTTGAGTATAATTTCACTCCAAGAAAGGAGAAGGGCTAATAAGATCTTATTGGCCCCCCTTTAGAAAGTAACACGCATTTCTCATTCGTAACTTCTATAACTCTGGCTATTATCTCTACCATCCTTCAGATGGATGGTAAGAAACCTGGTTCATACAATACAAAGATATTAGACACACTTTCTAAACCAAGAGAGAATCGTTGGAAGGAACTGAAGATCACCCAAGCAGCAGTTACGGCACTCGCGCGCGCTGTTTGAATCAGTCAACGGCCCGATACACCATATCACTTTTTACCCTATATCTCGGCCAATTGTAATTTTTCCAAGAAAATATTTTTTTTGTAGGATATTCTTAAGACCATAAATTTTCGAAAAATGCAAAGAAAAAAAATCGACTTTTTGAAGCTCCAAGACCAGAAACCCCCCTTAATTGATCACTTGAGAAGGACTAATAGCAAGAAGGAAAATATATATGAGGTACTGCAAAAGTATTTCAAAAGCTTTCCCTTAAAATTGTTTCATAATGAAGTTACAAATTCTCTAATATTAATCATGCTACTTATTCATCTACTATTAGAGACCTTGCTGTCACTTTTCATTCTTATTCATCTAAGACAGGGCTCGAAACAGTTTACTAATTTTAGCTGATTCTCGGCAGTTGCGCCTTCCATCTTCCCTTTGCTGTGAGCGGGCTACAATAGAGAGCCTTTAATCAGAGTGGCGCCATATGAAAACTTCCGCCATGTTTAAGCGAAATCCTGCGAGAGAGAAAGAGATATTTATGGTCTCAGTTTATTCAACAATATTGCTGTCAGCTTCAGATATAAGGTTAGGTGCAACAGCAGGTGTAAATACATTTTATAATACAGTTAGGACCTATCCAGGTAAATTTGTATATTACATAACTATATTCATAAAGAATTAATATTATCTAATCATATTTTACATATGTATTCATACATGAATACACATGTATTCATATAATAAAAATGTGATATGATATTTAATAATTTTCTTCATGGTTATGCAGCAAATTGGTTTGAATTTCTTATAATATTTTTGTAGAAATATGGGTGGATGTACAATTCTATTTTGCAACAATTCATTTAAAAAGGGATATATATATGAAAATATTTCCGAAAAATCCAAAACGTCGAATGGAATGGATAAAAAGTATCAATAGTAAATATAAAAATTGGACACCATCAAAAAATTCATATTTATGTGAGGTAAAGTTATTATTTGTTTCATAAATATTTACAATGTCATAATAAAAAGTTGATGTAATACATAAAAATATGTTCTGATTGGTTAAAATGTATAGTCAATTTTATTATGAATTTAATTCTTCATTTTTTTATAATTTTTTCAATTATGTATTATTACATGTGAATCCAAATCAAATACTATAATAATCATGATATAATTTTTTAATTAACTTTTGTGTCATTATATAGGTACATTTTTCTCCTGAAATGTGGAAACAAAGAATAGACAATAAAAGAAAATTAAAATCAAATGCATTGCCAACAATTTTTGAATACTTTCTGAATGAAAAAATTGTTTTCAATAATCAAAGATCTGATGTTATTGAAGAAGAACATAGATTAGTATATCATAATTCCAAATCCAATAGAAATCAAATTATAGTAAATGATAAACAGGTAAAATCAATGATAAAATAAATAAAAAATGAATAATAAAAAATATATTTAAATGTTTTAATAAATATATATTTTTAGATGGCTATAGATGAAACTGTTGAAGCTATAGATGAAACTGAACTTTCGACAAGCAATGAATTCTGTAATACATTATCAACAGAATGCATTTCAAATACAACTAAGATTGATGGAGGTAAAGAAAAAGATAAGAACATACACAACAAGAGATTAGAAGAAATAAATCGAAAAATGCAAATTTATTTAACTCTTTTGCGAAAAAAAAATAGAGTTTTAAGATCTAAAGCACAATCACTTGATGATAAAATTAACAATAATAAGTATAAAAAGGCTTTAATGACAATATTTAACAAGGATCAAATTAAAGCTTTATTGACAAAAAAACAAACAACAAGAAATTGGTGTAATGAAACTATTCAACGCGCACTTAGATTGAGGTTTACATGTGGTAAAAATGGCTACAATGAAATTTTTCAACAAGGAATACCATTTCCAAGTTTGCGCACTTTACAACAAATATTGGAAAATTAAAAATTTAGGAATGGAGTTTCAGACGAAATGTTTGATTTTTTACAATTTAAAGTATCTTCATTTCAAAATGACATTGATAGAGAATATGGACTTGTCATTGATGAAATGAGTATAACACCAAAACATGTTTATGACTGTTCAACAAAAACAATATTGGGAAATATAACATTTCCAAATCAAGAAGATATAGCGACACATGCTTTAACATTTATGCTGACAGGTACTGCTAATTGATGGAAGCATATTGTCGGTTATTTTTATACAGGCGATTCATTTGCTGGAGCAATTCTCAAAGATATAATTTTTCAGATAGTACGTAAAACTGAAATAATTGGTCTCCATGTCAATTATATAACTTCTGACATGGGTCCGGGAAATTGCAAAGTATGGAAATGTTGTGGGATAAGTATAGGAAGAAATTGTAGTGTTAACAATTATATTCCTCATCCCTTTGATTCCAATCGATTTTTATATTTTATTGCAGATGTACCACATCTTCTAAAAAATTTAAAAGAATCATTAATTAACAACAAATTTTTTATCTTGCTAAAAGAATTTGTAAAAAAAATATAAATTACCATGTAATAAAGTTTAAATTGCACATTTTAATGAATTAATTCAATCTCAGAAAGATTTGGAATTTTTACTAACACCTAAATTACAAATTGATGATGTTGTAACTACTAATACTTATAATAAAATGCGAGTGAATAAAGCAAGAAATGTTTTCTCTACCCATGTCAGTAGTTCATTAGAATTTTTAGCAAATGAAAACCATAAACCAGAATTTATTACTATGGTTTGTTAAACAAATATCTAAGTGGTTTTCATTAATGACTTCTAGATCATGTTGTACATCATTAGATATAAAAAATGAAGACATATACAATGCTAGCATTTATTTTCTTCGTGAGATAATTGATTTTTTTACAACAATAAAAATAAGTAGTAAAGAAATGTTTAAACCTATTCAAAGAGGTGTCATACTTTCAACAACCTCAATCATTAATTTAGTGGAATATCTTTTAAAACATCGCAATTTTCAGTTTATTTTGACTGGTCGTTTTACACAAGACTGCATAGAAAATCTATTCTCACTTCTGCGACATAAAAATCCAATTTTAGATGCTTTGCAATTCAAAAATAATTTAAAACTTATTGCTATTACAATGTACACAAACTCAATATCAACAGGAAATTATGAGGCTGATAATAGTGAATACCTTAATGGCTTTTTAGAATATTTAAAATATAAAGATGACGTACATCATTTTTCTAAATCATCTTCTGCAATCATAGATGAAATTCCTCCTTTTAATAATAATTCAATAATAGAATATGATAACAAATATATGAATTGTTTATATAATATTGGAGGATATTGTTTGGGATCTATTATAAAAACATGCACTTCATGCAATGATTGTAGAGAATCTGCTGGATCAAAAAGATCGTTAAACTTTAAATTTTCTGAATTTACGAGAATTAAATGTTACAATGCAAACACTTTATATTTTGTTAATAAACCAACGTTCGAAATGTTTTTACAATTAGAAAATATTTTTAGACATTATAGTCCTTATTTTTAAGAAATGCGTTATATAAATTTACATATATTTTTAGTAGATAAATTTAATTCTGTTCCCACAGATCATATTCTAGATTGCCATAATTTGCGTTTAAATTTATTTAAAAAATTTGCTACGGTGCGTTTAAAATTTAAAAATAAGCGTAGATTTCTATTACCAAATCGCAAATATTATGACAGTAAATCTATTGTAATGCATTACTCTTTTAAGTAAAATTAATTTTTTTAATTTTTCAAGTAATTAAGTTTTGTTTTCAATAATTAAGTTTTTAAAAGCATTTAAGTTTCATTTCAGATAATGCAATTTTTATTGTGCGCAATAACATTATTTAGATTGTAATAACATTATTTTATGCAAATATTTTGTGCAATAATATTATTTTTGTTTTAATAACATTAATTCGTATAATAAATAACATTCTTTTATATACAACATCTATTTATTTTTATTTATTAATATAAATACACACAATCTTGAAAATATTACAATTCAAAAACTGCTGGGAATAGCTTAAACATGGCGGACCAATCACAACTGATAGCCGTATGGCGCCACTCTTATTAAAGTGTAACGTCCGGATCTATTTTAGAACATTAATAATATATTATTATAGACCGAGAGGCCGACTTGTCTGATTTCAGACATCACTAGATATTTTATCCCTATGTTACTAGATGTAAGTACGTGCGCATATGCATATTCGCGAGCGTTAAAACATTATAATTAAAATGCCGAATGCTGCGTGCTGCTGGAGAGTCTCGAAATCAACGGATCGATCCAAAGAAACCGCTATCGCTCAGTGCGATAAGCCAACATAAACAGGAGCATGAAAACTGAATCCTAAACACCACTCAGGACACCGACGCGGTGACATCATGCAAAGGAATGAATCTCTTCCCTCGCCATAACTCCATGGACCAATCGGAGAACGACTCTCAGCGACAAAGCGACGTATAAAAGCGCGCGCATTTGTAGAGAAGGCAATATATAATTATTTTTCTTCTCATAGTTAGTCTCTGGTAGCTTCGTGTACTTATTCAGCATATTATACTTAGTCGTAAAATCCGACTGTGTTGCAATTACTTTTGCCTACCCTTCATATTTCAAACATTGCGAAATCAAATTCTGAATCACGGGCCGCATCAACCCGCGTGGTATCGGAACTTCCGAGGCTGAGCCAGGAGAACAAGCACCGCTGATTTTCCGCCAGATTCATCAATCGTTTCGCCAGGCTCCCGAGACCCAGGGTAAACTCGGTGAAAAGCAGAGTGACCCAAAAGCG